CCCCAAATCGCAGCCCCACCCCCACAGCCCGGGTGGCGGAGTGACAGTTGGTACCCCTGGTCTGATCGCAGCCGGCTAGGCGCCCGCGGCGTTGGGATTCCCTTCGGCACGGCCCTTCGATGACCCCCCAACGACATAACAGGTGGGACCCCCTTCCCGGAGGAGCGAGCCCCTCCTCCCCAGGCGGCGTAACAGCCCCCGGCTCCCCACTGCCCTGAGACCCCGCGTGTCCCCGCCGCGTGGGGGTGTTAAAGAGTAAGGCCTGCAGGGGCGTCAGCGTAGTTGTCTCTGGTCGCGGCTCGCCCGGAGAACGAGGGGGGTCTGCCTGATCGCAGGCGACTTGTCAAGGGCAGGCACATCAGCGGCAGCAGTGGGTGCCTCTGCCCGAGTCATAACCCGCACTCCGGCTATTTTCCTTAAGTGGTCCCGGTGCCCTGGTCCAGCTAACGGATTCATTCATCCTGGCGCGTTGTGGTTAACGCTTGATCCCTTTTGACTGTCTGGAGTAACAGTCAGGGTGAAGGATGCTGTGGACCTGGGGAGCTGAGAGAATCCGGGCAGGTGCTTCTTGGATGTTTCGTTTCACCTTCAGACAGGACAGAGTTCAGCGGTGCACACGCACACTTACAAAAAAAGACAGAAGGCTGGCTTCTGACTGGAAGTTTATTTGCTGTGTTCTGAGGCCTGCCTTCTGTCATAGCTCTCCCGAAATTTACCGTCCTCAGATTGGGATGTTTCTGCTTGGCTGTTTGGTTGTGGAAATGGTGAATGCCTGCCATGCTTGTGTTGTGAACTCCCCATGCCTTCTGGCACTGGGAGTTGAACATCAGCACGGGTAGGGACTGGGGGAGCAGAAAGGAGCGAGATTAATGAGGAGTGCGATTGATCCTGGTGGAAGTTGCCTGAGGTTTTAGAGGCAGTTTTTGAGGTCTGTGAGGCAGGGGAGAGGATGGATGTTCAGGTGTTTCATTGGTCAGTGTTAAGTGTCCGAGGAAAAAGCCAGCCGGGGTTGGGTCAGTTTTTCTTTCTTTCTAAGGGGAGCCCAAGGGATGTTTGGTGATTCAGCAGGTGGCAGGTTTCCAGCTCTGAAGCCTTGCCTTGGTGGAGCAAGCAAGCTGCAGAGTCCATGCTCGCTGCTGGCGGTGCCTCGATGTGGGGAAACCTCCAGGAGCCGGCTTCTTAGGAGAGCCAAGACTCTTTTCTTGTCTCGCTTCCTGTTTCCTTCCGGATGCACTGGTCCTTTCGGTTTCCTTAATGCTCCTCTTTAACTCCAGAGCATATTTTAAAGTCTCTCCACCCCAGACCTACTGGGTAGCAGGAGGTGACCATCACTAACTACCATACAGTTTAGGTAGTTACTCTACCGAGAACCCCCTTCTGTTTCTGTTTCTGAGACCAGACATTTTTATTGTTAGTAAACAGATATTTTTATTGTCACTTGTCACTGACTTCAAATATCAGGGAACTTAAAAAAACAAACTATTAATTCAAGATATTAAGTTATTAAAGGCACACATTTGTTTAAAGTATGTTACTCATTGGAGAGCTCTAGTGTCTTGAATAATGTCTGACCTGTGTGTAGTACTCAGTAATGCTTATTCATATTTAAGAACATTTTCCACAACACAAGGCACTCGTATTTACCACATTCAACTGTTTTTGAATAAAGAATGCACAACAGCGTCTATGAATTGGTATGTACTGGCCACTTAAAGACATTTGTGTTTTCCCGAGATGCACTTGCGTTGTGTTGACCATAAACATCAGTTTTATGTCAAGAACTCAATACTTGTTCACATTTTCATTTTCAACTTGTGGCAGGTACTTCTCTTGAGCTAGAATCTTTAAAGGGTGGTCTTTCCAGGATAGCTCATTAAAAATGTGAAGGAGGACTCCATGCTAGTAGCCACCAGCTGTTTTTATAACTAAAATGTGCTCCTGGCACATACATAATACATACATACATACATACGTATGTACATGTTCTCTGGTTGATATAACTTCATTTCCTGCAAAGCACTTCAGGAAAACTGTGGGTTCCCTAACTTCTTGTTATCCGGTGATAAGCACTAGAAAAGGCAAACTATGCTCGGGTGCTGAGAAAACATGGTGGCCAGTGTCTTTCTGTGGAGACAGGACAGATTATAGGTGGCCACATCTTTATCTGTTTTGGATTGTACAACTTTTTTTTTTAAAGAACTTTTTTGGTTATAACTTTTCATCAGGAATATAAATTTGAGGGTGGGGGGAGGGAGAGAGGATATACATGCTTGTTTATCGTTCCCTACTACATCCCAAGAGTTGTGCTGCCAAGTTTGTCACCTTAATTAGGGTACCTAATTAAAAAAAAATCGTAGTTTGGATCAGTTCATTTTGGTGTGAGAACAGGGAATGAATGATGAGGAAGAGAGGGCAGACCCTTCAGGCAGGAAGATGGTTTGGTTTTGTGGCTGTGGCTGTAACTTCTGGTTTCAGTCAAACCAAATTGAATGGCTGGTGAACAGGTGTGGCCGGGGTCTGCTCGAATGCTTTGTCCCCCTCTGAGTCTTGTCTCAACATATAGACACACCACACACAGATGTAGACATGAAAATGTTCACACACACACACACACACACACACACACACACACACACACGAGAGAGAGATCCACAGATAGAGACACACAGGCAGAGACAGATAACATGTTAACATATATGCCCCCTTTGCCAAAAGCCAAGAAGAACTCAGCTTCTTTCTTTAATGTATCAAAGGGAAAACTAGGCTTCAATAGAATGTTGAATTCTGGGGGTTTGAATTGCCCTGTGCTTGTATTTGAGAAAGAACTCCTGCTCTCAGTGGCCAGCTAGATATCCTTTAATGATACAAAGCTACTGTGACTTCAAGGTTGATGCAGGTGATTGAGAACTTATAACATAGGTGACTTCTTTTGCCTCTTAGACATGGTCAGTTCTTGGCATCAGGTCCTCTCATTGTACAAAGCCCCTTGCCTGTTGTATTGTCATCTCCGTTCCTCTCCGTTCCCTCTGCTGCCAGAACCGTCTTCTCTGAGGCACTGGATGAGATTTGGTGGTGGTGTGGGGTTGTATGGATATTTGTTAAAGCTGTGTTACTTGATCTGTTGTCTTCTGTTTGCATAAGTGGTGCCGAGGCTGTGGATCAGTGGTAGAGTGCTTGCTTAAGCATGCCGGGTTCGGGGTTCCATCTGGAGTACTGCAAAAGGAAAGCACTTCAAACCTCCCAAAAACATTTACCCTGGAAACGGTCCAACGTCTCATGAGAGCTGACAGAATTTCTTTCAGGTTTTTTATTAGGCAGTTTAGTGTGAGTGTGGGCTTAGCTTGTATGTATGTACTCATACATACACACGCACTGTCTAAGTTAGAGTTTCTGTTGCTGTGAAGAGACACCATGATCATGACAAATCTTTATAGAGGAAACATTTAATTGTGTGGCTTATAGTTTCAGAGGCTTAGTCCCTTATGGCGGGACATGGTGGCATGCAAGCAGACATGGTGCTGGAGAAGGAGCTGGGAGTGGAGAAGGAGCTACATCTGGATCCTACAGGCAACAGGAAGTGAAATGTCTCACTAGGTGTAGCTTGAGCATAGGAGACCCCAAAGCCCACCCTCACAGAGACACACTTCTTCCAACATGGCCATCCTGTGACCACAGGGAAAACGGAATGAAATGCTGACTGCATTCTCTTACTGATCCCCAAAAGGCTCTCTAGGGGTAGTGGCTTTGGAAGCTTGCTCCCTACTGGTGATGCAGATTTTGGACCATCCGAATCAGAAACCCTGGCTAAGAAGCCACTACTCTGTGCTTTAATTGCCTAACCTGGAGACTCTGACCTCCAGGGAACATTTGAGAGTCACTGCTGCAGGGTCCGACATCCAGGATCTTGCTCCGGGAGGCTGAGAAATCAGCACTCGCTGAATTGCTTTCTGAGCTGCTGAGCTGGTGTACACTTCCAAGCTGGTTGCAGGATGCTACCCTACATCCTTGTTAGTAGTGTTGGACATTTATCAGCTCTATAATTTACCAGTGTTATGTGGCTAGATAATGAGCTCTCGTTGTTTTACTGTGGATTTATATGATTCTTAATGAATTGGTGGCATCCCTTATATTATTTAGTGGGGTACAGTTTCTTGGACCAGCTGCCCATTTTGTCTTCTGTTCCTCCCCTCTTATTCTCTTTTCCCTCCTCACATTTGTGTTTCTTTCCCTCTCTTTTATTTTGTGAGACGGTTTTCCTAAACCATCGATTAAACAATGCACTCTTTCATAATTTTGATTGTATATCATGTTTCCACATACACATGAGACCTTGCCAATTTTTCAAGAGTTAGAGTTTATATAGATAAATCAATTTAAAATGTGTACTTTACTTTTGACAGTGTAGCTATCTTTAAACTGCCACAGTGAAGATACTGGACATTTCTGTCACCCCCAAACTTTCCTTGGGCCCATTTTTTTTTTTTTTTTTTTTTTTTTTAGTCAGGCCCTTACTGTTATACCCATACTTGTGTGATCACTATATCTTACATTTCTAGAATTTTAAATAAACAGTCCATACTGTATGGTACTTTATTATTTCTGGTTCCTTTCACTAAATATACTGGTTTGTAATTTTTTTGAAAATTGTGATACAGTATTTAAAGTATCTGAACTGTGACACAATACATAGAACATAAACCTTCCAGGTGGCCGGGTGTTGGTGGCGCATGCCTTTAATCCCAGCACTCAAGAGTCATAGGCAGGCCGATCTCTCTGAGTTCGAGGCCAGCCTGGTCTCCAGAGCGAGTGCCAGGATAGGCTCCAAAGCTACACAGAGAAACCCTGTCTCGAAAAACAAAAAAACAAAAAACAAAAAAAAAACAAAACAAACAAACAAACAAACAAAAAACCCCTTCTAGGTGATCACTTTTGTACAACTCAGTAGTGTGATGTCCCTGTTGGGCAAGCTTCAACACGGTCCTTCTCCAGAATGTTGTCGTCACCCTAAACCAAACCCTGTTTCGCTTAAGTTCAGCCTACTAATTTTGAGATGCCTCACAGGTTCTGGTATTTTGTTCTTAGTTCTCTCCCAGTCTTCTGTTTTTGTGCCAAACCCATATTTCTTCATTTGAGCTTTTGCAC